CAACACAACATATATAAACAGCCCTCAGAACTAAGGTTCCACTGGGCACAGTTCAGGAAATTCTCATTATATTAAAGCATCTAGCTCTGTATATGGCACCTAATACTAGTTTTGTTTCTTTTATTTTTTCTCACAGTTGTCTATGCCTAACTGGAGCATATTTCATATTTCACATTCAGTCCAAGGACTGGTCAACTGAACAAAAGACTCCACACACACTATTGCACTCGTTTTTCTGTTTTGTTTTGTTCTGTTTTTTATTTTTAGGGTTAGGGGTGGGAGAAGAGGAAGTGGGGATTTGAAAATAATTAATGAGAGATGAATACTGCTTGGAATTAACAACAAAGACTGAATGTATCTTTCTTCATCGGTTACCTTGAATATGTTATTGACATACATCAGAAACAGATTATTTTACTCCAAGTGCCACTCCACAGACATTCACACAGAAACTCACACAGCAGCCTCGCTCCTCAGCTCCCACTGCCGTTTCAAAACCATCGGTCTAGACGCTAGAACATCGCCTCCCAACAGAAACAGAATGCAGGCCACAAGCACGAGCCACCGATGTCACTGGAAATTTTCCAGTGGCCACATTAAAAACAAGTACAAAGAAACACATGAACTTGACTTGATGATATATATTCCTTAACTCAATATATCCAGAATATTATTATTTCAGCATGTAATCAATACAAAAATTAATGAGACATTTTACTTCTTTTACACTAAGCCTTATAAACGTGCTGTGTGTTTTAGCACGGCTCTTTGGAGTACTCACTATTCAGATGCTCAGCAGCTTCAAGTGGGTAGTGGTTCCTGTGGTAGCCAGTTTTAGAGAGTCAGGAAGATTTTCTGGGTGGAGATCACATTTGGAAAGGGTTATGGACAATAAACAGGAATTTCATTAAATAGAAAAGGTGGTGGTGAGAGGACATTCCAAGCAGAAAAAACCAGTTTGTGCAAAAGTCCAGATTTGTGAAATAAGACCAAGGTCAGAAGAGCAGGCTGCCCTTCCAAGTGCCCTAAATTCTAAGACAAAGGATATTTCATTCTGGGTAAGGGGTTATGTCTCCTACTTAAAAGTTGGGGGTGGTGTGGGAAAGAAGGAAGAAAATGCTTTTGAGAAATGAAAATGCTAAACTTACTGCTGGTCAGTGACTCAGTGTAAATGAATCTGTAAGATTGTTGAGAGTAGGACCCCAAGGACAAGCACTGATATTTTGGGAAGAGATAGAGAGAAGGGCAAAGGGATTGGCCTCCTGGTTGAGAGGGACAGGGGACACCATGCTGTAGAGCCAGTGTGGGTACAGGGTGTCCTTCGTGTGCCCTGCAGGCGGGAAGCCCTAAAGGCGAACTTGCCTTTCAGCAAAGGTCACGATGTATCCTGGCCACCCCTGGGGATGTGATCCCAGGAAGTCAGCCCAGGAACCACAGGCAAGGCTGTGGTCGCGGCCAGCACTGGCATTTAACTTTCATCAGATTTTAGGAGAACTATTTGGCCTGCAGTAAATACTGAAAAGATGATTTTTATCCTACTTGTAATTTGGGTTCTTGTGGGAACCATGCATAAATCCAGATGACTCATATTCTGTTCTGTTTTTTCAGTAAAATAAAAGAGTAGATCAACTTTCAAACGACAGCCTTAGCATTTGTAGCTTGCACAACAACAAAAAAAGAGTGATTTCCTCTCCATCCACCCTTTCTCCCCAGACAAGCGATCCCAACATCAGGAAAGGGCCCACCAGTTCTGTCCATGTCCTTGGCCATTTCACTGGATGTTTTTTTCTGGCCACTTCACTGTCATTTCAAACTTAGGTATGTTCACTCACACAAAAATCTTTCTGTCTTATTTTCCCGCCTTTTTGAATCTTACACCAACCTACCCCAAGGGACCATTTTTATTCCTCTTTTACTGAGTAATTATAGAGGATGGGTGAAAGTAGGTTTACAGTTTTACAAATAAGTAATACAATAATTAATAGATAATAATATAAGAATAAACTCTGTGTTTCATGCAATCACAACTGTAAACCTACTTTTGCACACCCCTGTATTAAATCCTTTCTTTTCTTGGTCACTAAATTTATGGATTTGCCACATTAACCTTAAAATTATATAAAATTCCAGAATTCACCTTCTAGACACTCCTCAATATAAAATTTGTACAGGTGTGCAGCATACACTTCTGGGTCTGCCCTCTTGCCTTGGGAGATACACTTTTACCAACCCACCCTGAGTCCTTAGACAAGTCTCCCAACCTGTCATCTAGAAAACAAAGGATGAACCAGATCACCTTCCAGTTTGAAATTCTGATTCCCTTAGGAGATGCTGAGAGGCAGAATAGCCAAGAGCTTTAGAGCTTGAAGGCCTTAGAATCAGATGTGCTTGGTCTTACATAAATGAGAGATAACTTATTTGTCTCTCTAAGCCTCTGTTCTGCCACCTGTAAAATAGACATACCAAAGTTATTGCTCACGAAGAACATCTTTTATTATAAAAGCCATCTCCCTGTGCGGTCTAGCCACTATCCAGGAGTACCTATGACCAGGGTTTTGTCTGGAGTTGGTCAATGCCTATTTCTTCGCCCCTGGAAAAATCATGAAGGGGAAGACACCCTCCACAAGGCACATTAGATTCTAGGATAAATCCAAAGCTGGAGAGGGTTGAAAAAAATTAAAATGTACCTCGAAGGTTATAACCATTGACATAGCTGATGTGCTAGAATGAGATTGTAGAGCAGCTATAGCCGCTTCTCCAACCAAATCACTTAGCAGAGCTACTGTCAAGCTGGCTCTGCATTTCATCTTTCTCTTCTTTGCTCACACTGTTGATGAGCCCTATGAGGAAGATTGCCCAAGGGGGTTATCTGGAGGAAGGAATGGAAATAATCCCCAAATCTACTGTTGGAAAATCAGAAAGTATTTGTTTTTCCTCTTTAGAAGGATCCCACAGTTCATTCTCTTTGATTCCACACTTCAATTTTTTTATTTATTCTTCCCCAGTTAATGTATGAAGATTCAAAATCTGTCCCTGATTGGCATTGCATGCAAAGCACTTTGGGCAGTTTTGAGAGCATTTCTAATGCAACTCTTAGAGGCAGGGCTGGTTATTTTGTTTTAGAAGTTTACTCAATAGACAACCTAGCTGTATCATTTACTTGCAGTGCAATCTTGAGCAAATTAATCTTTTTGTGCCTTCATTTTTGTCACCTGTAAAATGCAGGTGACAAGAGTAGCTGCCTCATGAGTTTGTTGTGAGGATTAAATGAGTAGACATTTTAAAAATAGACATAAAATCTTTAGGACACAGAAAGTGCTGCATGAGTATTGACTCTGGTGCCATCATTAACATCATCGCAGAAGACTCTAGAATAGCACTCAATACTTTCTAAGAGGCTATTAATTTAATTACTTGTTACAGCCATTGTTCATTGTCTATGTCCCCTTCTCCAAAATATAAGCTCTGTTTTATTCACTGATATAGTCCCAGCACCTAGAACAAGTGAATGGCATACAGTCGATGCTCAAAATAATATTTATTGAATGAATGAGTGAGTGAACGATTGGACAAATAGTTTAAGAGATGTGACTGTTTTCTGGCTTTCACACTTTCTTCTAGAGTGGGCCAAACTACTTATTTCTCAATTAATGCCACATGAGGCAGTGGCATGAAATGAAAGGAGACTGGGACACCCCCCCGGGTTTCTGAGACCTGCTCTCTTATTATGTGTCAAAAAATATACTGGGAAAACTTAGGAGTATGTGCTATATAGATTTTCCATATAGCCATGCTACTAAGAACCAAGCATTTTATATGTAAATCCAAATTTAGTTTGATTATCTAATCAATTATGCCAGGTGGATAACCATAAAATAACTATTTTAATAAATGGCATTTACTATTTCTTGAGGCTACTCTTTTACAGCTCTTACTTAAATTCAAGGCCAAAGAGCTTTTGAGTTGCTATCAGCTCAGATAGATATCTCTTCTACTTAGCTTTATTCTTTTCAATCTTAAAACTCTGGGAAATGTTCCCAAAGTGCATTTTCAAAAGGAAAAATCTCCACCAAAAGCTCAAATTGGTGCTAATCTAGTTAAGGAATATAATTCTTGGCAGCTGTAGAACAAGGGCCTCTTGTTTTGCTTCCCCAGCCAGATATAACTGTCTCCATGAACACGTCTTTATTTCTACCCTGTATTTCACTGAATTTGTTCCCTGAGAACTGGGCACTGAGTTGCATGTAAGACGATACACGTGCCAGCAAGCTCACGTCTGCACTGAGGGGCAAGATCTCTCACAGGCTCTGGCATTAGCAGCTGCTGTTAAAGTGGTTTATTTGTACGAGTGTTCATGGGCCTTTCTTGGCATGTGTGCCCTTAGCATTCCTCTGCTCCACAGAATCCAAGCGATATAACAGTTTCGTGGGCCTGGGGTCTACTGCATTAGCAGCTCCTTTTGCTTCACTTGAGAGCAAAGCTCAGCTGTCAGAAGGAGATTGTATACTATCTGTCAGGTCCTAGGGCTTGTGTCTGTCCAGCCTTATCTTGGCTTCCCAGCTCCTCAATTGTATCCTGTTGCTATCAGCAGCACCCCTGGCTTCTTGATACATTAGGAACTGTCTAGACACTGTTTAGAGATTGTGAGCCTTTGGTCACAATCCCTTAGTGTTTATATGAACTACTTGCTCTTTGCTTACTCAATGTTTCACTTCTCCTATCATGTAAGAGCTTTCCAGATGATCTATGTGGGAGGAAAACAGAAAAATTGAGTGTGTTAAAGTGTGTGTGTGTTTAAATAATGACATTATACATATCTCAGGGGTTTTTATACCTTTCCCTTGGAAATACACTTTAAAGACTTTAATAGCCCCCCACTATTTTTCTCAAGAGCACTTAGAATTGTGGTAAAAAGAATATGATCAGATTGACAAAGACAGCCTGTTATTTCATTGCTGCTGGCAAGTGTTAGTTCATGACCAAGGTGCAAAACATTAGTTGCTGGGGATACTGACTTCCATGGACCTTTCACCGCGCCTGTCTGTGTTCACAATTAGTTGGAAACACCTGACTTGTACTTCCCAATGCTGCCAGCTGGGGTTTCTCAGCAGGTTACAGGTAAATGTGCTTGGAGACATAGCCCTCTCATGGAACACCCGCACCACTCTAGCTGCCAGTTGGCTAAGGACTCAGAGTAGATAAAGAAAACCTGGGCCTGCAGTTCATTGTAGGAAAGCCCCGAGAAGAATTGTTGGATTGTATTTTACTCTCAAAATGAGGGCTTAAACCTGCCATCACAGGCACAAAGATATGTCACCTTAAAGTTAAATTAGCAAAAGTCTACACAGAATGGAGAAATAGACTTTCTATGGGGGCAGCCCAACAAATTATATACGTAAGATTGAGAGGTTTGGAAAACATCCAAGGCTCTAATTGAGGTAATATGGATATAACTTCAGAGGAGCAGGGACAGAATATTATTATAATTGAGAAAACGGACACATGACTCGGCCTTCCTAAACACTACGTGTCTGAAGAGTAAGTCAACAGGAGAGGATGCTCAGCACGGGGTCATAGTTTTGGCACATTCATCCAGCTCTGTCTGGGGGGTTGAGTCTGAATCTGATGAACAGGAAAGTTCCAGTCTCTAGAGATGGTAATTTGCAGGAGTGTTATTTTAGTTAGATTTCACATGGCCTAGATGAAATATCCCTCAGGATTTCTTTGCTCCAATCTGATCTTGTGCCCGTGAGTGAAAATTCTGGTTAGTAACCTGGTTCCTGACATCCTAATAGTGTGATAGGGGTACCCTGGATGTGACCGGGGAGACACTGCGGATGAGTAAATTGGCCTGACTGGTTGTGCACCAGCCTTTTGGAAATTCCTTTGTGTAAGTTAGTGTCTGTGAATCCAAGAATTCTGTGTGGCTGACCAAGCACATACCCTGACTTCCAAAAGTGAGGGGAGCAGCCAGCCTCAGGGAGGCCTCACAGTTCATCATATCAGTGATGGCCTAGTCCAATCAGGCCCAATCAAATCCACCAAGAAGGGAGACACTGGATAAAGGCAAAGCCTACTATCAGAGAAATAAGGCCGCAGGCCATGGTCTTGATAGTTGTATAGAAGTTCCTAACAGAGATCTAATAAGTGAAACTGCTACATAAGCATGATTTGTCACCAAGGGTAGGGTCAGAGCTTTCAGTGTGACTGACTTAATGGTGGGATGTCGGATTAGGTTGTTGAACATCTGTTTTCTCTGCTCAGAAGTCAGTAGACACGTGAGTGTGGTAAATGGGTGAAACGACAGGAATGGATTAAGGGTTGACTACGTCAATTTTTTTTAGGGTCTGGGAGGAAAAAATGTTTAAGCACAAGAGACTTAACGGGCTCACTTAAAAAAACTTAGGGGTAGAACTGGCCTAAGGCACAGCCATTATAATGCATGGGGTTCAAATGATATCACCAAGACTGGTTTTTCTGAACTTGTCTCTCAGATCCATATTGCCTTGAATGTCAAACAAATTCTCTCCTGAGGTCACAAGATGGTGACCATCTTCCATTTTCATGGAATCCATCAGAAAATAGAATCTCTTTCATAAAGCCCTTTAATGGCTCCTTAATTATAATTGAATAACTTGCCCATCCCTGAGCCCACCAGTTGGACCAGGGAAATGTGATTCTCTGGTCAGTGTCTGAGTCATTTGACCACACTTGAAGTCAAGGGCGGAAATGTCTGAGTGAGAAGTACCTGAGATGATAGCTGTGGAAGTTGGAATCTGCTAAGGAGTTTGTAACAACTCACCTGCCCAATCAACTAGCCCTGAAAATGAATGGCACTGGAGTTTGGGCTCATACGGAGCCATTGCTGTCCGTGGGTTATACCAGCAAGAGGGGTAATTCCTACCACATTATGTTCCCAATGACAGCTGTAACAATAGATTTAAATGTTTTTCATTAGATACTTGATTTGACAAATATTTATTGAACACCTACCATTAACCCAGAATTGTGGGAGGTATTAGAGGGGATAATTCACTGTGGAAAGATATAGCACTTTTCATGTGAACAGTTAGAGAAAAACAACCACTCTTTATTTCTTATATAATATGAAGTCAGCTTCCCAAACACATTGCGCACTATGCAAGTTTTGCTTTATATTTAGTCTAAGGGGTGGAGTTGATGCTCAGAATGGTTGATGGTAGTGAAAATATACCATTCATTTTTAAGAAACTAATTTGTACTTTTCAAATATTATTCCCAAATTAGGTAATTAAATGCTGATAGAATTGTTTTATATGTAAGATATTGATGTTCAGTCACAAAGTAAATCAAGAAGAGAATTATTTTAAGATCAAAATTCCTTTACTTTTTAGTCTTATGTTCATTCATTTTTTCCTTATGAATTTCATTAGCTGAAACTTTAGTTTTTAAGATACAGTCAGAAAGCAATTTCTTCCACATTCCTTGGGTTATTTTCTCAAGTATCAATCTAATGTTAACCTCATCAATGACTCCTGATCACCCTAGCGATTGATTCCACACTCCTTAGCATATATGCCAGACCTTTCATTATTACAACACCCCTGCTTACCTCCCCAGTCCCTTCTCTCACAATTTTCCCACATGTACCACACTCCAGCCATACCGAACGATTTACAGTTCCCCAAATGTACAACCTCTCTCGCCGCTGTGCCTCCACGGGTGCTTTTCCTTCTGTTCATTCTTTTTCTTGCCATCACCCAGCCATCTCCTGTTCATCCACTAGGTCTCAACTAAGACACCACCTCCTCCATGCAGTCATTCTTAACACCCCCTGCAAGACTGGGGTAGGTGCTCCTTCTTTGCTCCTTTAGTGTCCTGCTCTTTGCCTATCATGACCATCATTAGTCTATGCTATTAACTGCCTGTTTGCCCTAAGTCTCCCTAATAAGAACGAGAGTTCCCAGATTAAATGAGAATAGGGTGGGACCTTTGTTTTCACGCCTGCACTTTGGGAGCTTAGCTCAAGAAATATTTTTTGGATGAATGAATAAATGAATGAATAATGAGCCTCTTACTATGTTGTTTTCTCGCATTTTCTCAGAATTACAACCGGCCCCCTGTGATGGCATTAGCCATCCCCATTGCAGTGAAATTCCTCCACAGAGGCAACAAGGAACTGTGCAGGAATATGTCCAACTACCTGTCCCTGGCTGCAATCACCAAGGCAGACCTCCTGGCTGACCACACAGAGGTCATAGTAAAGAGCATACTCCAAGGTATGGTGTGAAGGCTGAGCTTGGGGGCATGTTTTAGGAGTCGTTTAAAAGTATTTTCAGTGTGTGCAAAGTGAGACCTAGCGTATTGAGCGGTACCTTAGATTCCCTGCTTTATAACTAGTTGACTTGTGAACATGGGTAAGGTTACTTGAACTGGCTGAGTCTGTGTCTCTTCACTGGGCAGATGGATTATTTGGGCCCATTAGGTAAGTTGTAAGCTTCCTTCCAGCTCTACATTGCTCAGTTTGGAAACTGTCTTTTCCATTCTTCTGGTCACCTTGTCCATCTACCGACTATGGTGAGTCTGTCTGTCTTCACTGAGTGAAACATATCGCACCGTTCTCAGTGGCAGATGAAAAGCCTCTTCTTCCTTTGGTTTCCAAAAGCAAGAAATGTTAGATAAAATACACCAGAAAATGCGGGAAGACTTCTTAAATGTGAACATACTGGGGAATGATTTGTGTTAGCTACTTTCATAAAAACTCAAATCAGGATACCTCTGTTAACTGTTTTTACATTGGAATGAAAGAGATCAAGTTAGTCCACTCAAAATATTTTCTTTGTCTTGGGTTTTTTCCTTTGATTTCAGATCTATCAAAAACCATGTTTTTACGTATTTTTTAAATTTGGGATCAGAGAATATATGGTATTATTTGATAGACACCAAAATGTCCACAGTGCTCATTAATAAAACTGTATGAGGCCCATGAGTATCTCGGCCTACATTTTACTGACACCCCTCCCCGCATGCTCAAGTTGAACATCACGCCCCGTAAAGGTTCCCAGACAAAGTATTCCTTAGGGTCCCCAAGGGAGCCGAGACGTGCTCTCCTCCTGGGGTATCCGGGCCAGGCCACAGCCTATGTTGCCATTCTTTCCATGCTTCCCGCATGGCCCGCTCTGCTGGTTCCACCCCACCCCCCGGGCCCAGCAAATGCCGTGGCTGCTACCACCAAGGTCCCGGGAAGGACCTTCTTGACTGTTCTTTTTTTTTGTGCTGCTCCAGTTGAAGTTTAGGAGCCACCAGCCCTCAGTCCACTAATTCCATGTGGCAGGATCAGGGAGAACACCTGTCTTTCTCCTTGGTGTTACGTTTTGGTGGAGAGGCCCCAGGACAGGGTTGCGTGGCTCCCGGTGCCAAGCTGTGCTACCAAGTTTGCGGTCAATAGACAGTTCTGTTTTATCTAAAACTCTCTCTTCCCAGGGACCCACTATCAACCCAAGAGTTGAGCTAGCAAGAAATGAGTCCTCTAGTTCTCAAAATGCCTATGGCCCACCAAGGACCAAAGTTCTGTTTATTGGACCAAATGTTCCCAAGAAGGGTTCTTAGCACCCCACCTCCACCCCAACCCTCCAGACATCTGACCCCAATGGTCTGCCAGATGCCCAGATACAGCTGAACCCCAGCCACGACAGTGAAAGTTTATCAGTCTCCCTGTGCTTCCCTCTAAAGATTTGTCATTGAGATTACTAGTCAGTATTATACTCTTGGCTACAGGATTGAATTGCTAATTTCACTTTATACAAATTAAATTCACTAAAAGTCCAGAAAAGCAATTATGTTTTTTTCACCACCTTGGCTACATATTTGGAACAGACTTTATAGGAATTACAAACACTTATAAACACCACACATTTTAAATCCATGATAGTTAGACTTGTAAGTAACTGATATATGGAAAAAAAAAAATTGAATTGTCTCTTTGTAGCTGCCAAAAACTTAGGTCATGTATTTGGGTGTTTTTTTGGTTTTTTTTTCTTCTTGAAATGCACTTGCAATGACAAAGAAATCTTTTGAAATGCAAAATACACTTTCTTAATTCACTGCAAGCGTTTGAAATAAACAAATGATTTGGTTTATTTGATCTGGCACAACGAAAATTACCATAAAATAAATAATAATTTGACCTAAAAGGTTGGGGCTACATATTTCAGGGTTTAGATTTTTAGGACAAATATGTCGTAAAACTCCCCAATCACCCACATGAGCACATCAAACTTTGAGCTACAAACTTTGGCTGTCTCTGAGTAGTAAGTTTATTGCTTTGCAAATCTTGGAGATATACATATATCTACATATATATATATGTATATATATATACACCCTGCCAAACAGCCTTAGGAAACATCAAAAATATTTGTTTTTTCNTATATATCTACACACATATATCTACATATATATATATGTATATATATATATACACCCTGCCAAACAGCCTTAGGAAACATCAAAAATATTTGTTTTTTCTTTTCCTATAGTTTTCTCCCTTATAGCAATAGAAGGAAAGATATCTAAAAAAACAAACAACCCTATAACTAAAATTATCCTTAATGGAGAAATATTGAATCTTTTCCCTTGAATTAAAAAATAAGACAAGGATGTCACTTGGGTAATGAATTTGTTTTCTCCTTAAGTCATATCAGAGGTAATTTCATAATTTGTAACATCAGAAACTTTTCAGAGTGGGAGAGTTGTTTTTCAGTGGTCCTGAGTAATTCTCCAAACTTGTTCTTTGCCCGGTGAAGGTGCTCTGTAGAACCTGACCAGTATTGGAATATAAAAGCATTACTAATGCTTATCTTTTACCCAAGAAGATGACAGTATTATTGGAAACCCCTAAAATTAGGGTCTCTCCAAATCTAAGGGATTATTTAAGGGCTTGCAGAGAAACCCTTTCCAAACGTTGATGTGGAACTCTGTGATGCAAGGCATACCACTGGTATCAAAACTAAAGCAATGATGCCCCTTCCTTTGCATTTCTGAACCCATGGTCATAATAAGGAAATACAATGTCTCTGTCAGTATGCCTTTTACATGGTCCCCTGGCACAAGTAGCTAGATGACCTCAAATGATTTGAAACTTAAGTAGGAAGTCTTTGGAATGAAAATGTAATATTGTCTCAGCAAGAGTCCAAATTCCTTTCTTATTGGCAATAGCCTTAAAAAGACTGTCTAGTTAATTATGATGAATTCACCTCATTTCTTTCTTGATGTGAGACAAAATTCAAACCACTTATTAGTGAACTGTCTCAGAAGAAATGGAGATAGCAAATTGACACCCCTCCCCCAATTTATAATGACAGTAATAATATGTACCACATAAGGTAGATGTGAGGCTTAAATAGATAAAGCAGATATATTTTGCATAATGCCAGACCATAGTCCATTATGGTTACTATTATTCCTCTTAATATCATCATCATCATCCTTGTCATCATTAATTATTATATGCCATGTGCCAGGCCCACACTAAAGTCCTGAAGGCAGATCCATGTCCATTGGTGGAGTTTAATAATCCCTAGGAGATACTTAGCCACTAAAATTCATGATACAATTATTCTTTTCTTTTTTTAAATATACTTTTATTGATTTCAGAGAGAGGAAGGGAGAGGGAGAGAGAGAGAGATAGAAACATCATGATGAGAGAGCCATCATGGATCAGCTGCCTCCTGCACGTCCCCAACTGGGGATCAAGCCTGCAACCCGGGCATGTGCCCTGACCGGGAATTGAACCTCAGTCTCCTGGATCCTAGGTCAATGCTCAACCACTCAGCTAGACAATACAGTTATTCTTAAAGGAAAATGTTTTAAGTTCACCATATTACAGGTTGTTGGGAAAGAATTTATTAATCAAATATTCTAGGGAATGGGTGACTAAACAATATTATTAAGAATATTCAACCTGAATATTTATATACATAGGGAAATATTAAATTTAATGTTGTAAAAAGCCAACCTAAATGTGGGTTAAGAAATAGAGACATATTTTGAAGCAGAAAAAGATAAGAGTTGTTGACCAAATCTTGGATCAGGTGCTGGCCAGAGTTTGTACCTTTTCGACTCCACCAGCAGATGGTGCTGTGAAGTAGAGTAAGACCTGCCCAGAGATGAGCGTCCCCTGCTGAGCTCGGAATGACTCATCCACAATGCAAGGGAATCCTTACATTTATTTGTTTGTATTGTTGTTTGTTTACTTGTTTTCTATTCAACACACAGGGAATGACTTGGGGAAACATTCTTTTAAGATAACTCTTTTATTTCAACTATTATTTTATGGTTTAGAAAGCACTTTTAGACACATTACTTGTTTTTATGTCATTTTCATAATAACCCTTCAGCAAGGTAGGCAAGTCCTGGTATCCCTAATTTTTTGGCTAATTTGGATGCATAAAGATTAGTTGGCAGGCTCAACTTCTTATAGTTAGTAGGTAATGGCAGTAAGATTTGAATGCTGGATTTCTGACCCCAAGCCCAATAAGCTTCTTCTATACTTTAGATTTATAAAACTGAATGCAAGTGTCAGCAATCTGAGTTTTCAAGTTCACCGAATTTAGGAATATTTAAATGAACATATACATTACTTAGACCAAGATTTTTAACTTCAGGAGTGCTATTTCTTTGTTGTTGTTGTTGTTAATCCTCACCTGAGGATATTTTTTCCATTGATTTTTATAGTGGAAGGGAGGGAGAGGGAGAGAGAGAGAAGCATTGATGTGAGAGAGGCACGTCGACTGGTTGCTGTCCGCACACGCCCCAACCAGGGCTGGGGATCAAGCCTGCAACCCAGGTATGTGCTCCTGACTGGGAATCGAACCCAAGACTCTTGGTGCTCCAGCTGATGCACCAACCACCGAGCCACACCGGCCAAGGCATGAATACTGTTTCTTAAGTGACTAAAAGATAGTTCTTTATTAAAGTGAAGTTAATTACATAATTGTAAATAGCAAGCTCTAAAATTCTTAGTAATCAGATGTTCTAAATATATTTTAAAGGAATTAATAATTGAAAACCAATTTACATTATAATAGAAAAGGAAATATTATCAACTCTGTTTCATTCAAATATTATCACTGCAAAAAAAGGTGTTCCAGTGACATACATATGTATCTGCTAACGTGACTAAATGACAAATTGTCACAATTTTCCTGGAGCTGAAGGGTTTCCTGGGACATGGGACTTTCAGTATTAAAGCTGTGACAATCCTAGGCTAACCAGGGCAGTTGGTCACCCTAACATACACATACAACATTTTATTCTTTGTGCATATATAATGTATTATATTTTTCTTCCTAATAGCTTGAATGATCTTGCACAATTATTTTACTATGCCATAATATAGCGATGCCCATAGCAACCTTTTTTTTAAAATCCTCACCCGAGGATATTTTTTCCATCGCTTTTCAGAGAGAGAGGAAGGGAGAGAGAGAGAAACATCGATGTGAGAGAGACACATTGATTGGTTGCACACTGACCAGGGCTGGGGATCGAGCCTGCAACCAAGGTATGTGCCCTTGGCTAGAATCGAACCCGGGACCCTTCAGTCTGAGGGCCAACGCTCTAACCACTGAGCCAANACACTGACCAGGGCTGGGGATCGAGCCTGCAACCGAGGTATGTGCCCTTGGCTAGAATCGAACCCGGGACCCTTCAGTCTGAGGGCCAACGCTCTAACCACTGAGCCAAGCCGGCCAGGGCATATAGCAACCATTTTGATAAATGAATGTGCTAAACTAAGCCAGCATACTAATATTTTTTTTAGATATTTTATCTCAGTTTTACACATTTTTTACTGTCTCATTTCACTGTCACTCTGTATTCTTAACGCCTTTAAACGCTGTTGTAAAAAAGAAAAAAGTCGGATAGCCAGACTTTGTAAGAAGTATTTTCTAAGTATAGTCTATAGTTTAAAAAAAAATTTTTTTAAATTATAGTTGGCATATAATATTATATTAGTTTCAGGGATACAACATAGTGATTAGACATTTATATACTTTACAAAGTGATCACCACATCAAATCTAGTGCTCATCTGGCACCGTACAGAGTTATTACAATGTTATCAACTTCATTTCCTATGCTGTACATTATATTCCTGTGGCTAATTTATAACTGGCAGTTTATAATACTTTTTAATCCCTTTCACCTTTTTTGTTCATCCCCTCACCCTGCCCCCACCCCTGGCAATCATCAGTTTGTTCTCTGTATCTATGAGTTTGTTTCTGTTTTGTTTGGTTTGTTAATTTGTTTTGTTTTTTAGCTTCCACATACAAATGAAATCACACGGTATCTGTCTTTCTCTGACTTATTTCACTTAGCATAATATCCTCTAGGTCCACCCATGTTGTTGCAAATGGCAAGATTTAATCTTTTTTATGACTGAGTAATATTTCATTATAAACATATGCCACATCTTTTTGATTCACTTGTTTCTTAATGGACACCTGGGTTGTTTCCAAATCTTGGCTGTTGTAAATAATACTGCGATTGACATAGGAGGTCTGTGAGCATTTTGAGGGAATAAAGTCCATGGTCTTTTTAATTTTAAAAAAATTTCTCTACTGGGTAAGGATTAGATTAGGTCGTTGATTGGTAGTGGATTAAAGATAGAAGTGCATTTTTCTCTCATGTAGAAGAAGGCCAGGGACTGGCAACTCAGGACTGGCAAGGAAACTTTACACCATTGGAGAAGCAGGCTTCTTCTCCGTTGTTACACTGAATTTCATGGTCTAAGATGGTTGCTGAGGTTCCAGCCATCATTACCATATTCCAGTGAGGAGAAAGGGAAAGAGAACCGCATTCAATATTTCAGTGTTGGCCAGAACTTAGTCATATGGACACACTCAGCTGCAATTAATGCTGTAAAATATAGACTTTACTCAGAGTGGCCATGTGTGCTATTAAAACCAGAATTCTGTTACTTAGGAAAAGAAGGATTCCTATAAAAAAATGTAAAGTTCACTTACATTTAATTTGTCACCATATGTGTTTGCAGATATCTTGGCCTGCATCATCTTGGGTCTCTTGAATAGACATAATTCATGCTGAAATGTGGAAAAGAATTGAAAGCATTCCTAACTCTCTGCTTGAGGCTGGGTCCAATATTTCTTCTTCCAGATAAGCATTCAACTCATATAGACGGTAGCTAAACAGGGGTTTACATATGACCACTGTGCCTGCAACCTCGAATTATGTCATCTCCAAGGGTCTAAGACTGGCCTATGACCTCGTAACTGCAATTTTCTTTGAGAGCCATCAGCCTGGTTTTGTGAGTCCCACAGGCAGGATGAAGCTATACTGATACCATAATCATCCTCCAAGATTTCTAGATTCGTGGAACTTTATTGCTAAAGGTATTAAGAGTCCAACTCCCTCCTTTTACTGAGAAGACCCAGAGGAGTTAAGTAACTTGTCCAAGGACACCAAGCTATTTAGTTACAGAATGTACTTCGATAATTACCCTTGGCCCAATTCTTCAAATGTCATGAACAGGATATGACCTGTGGTTGCTCAGTCCCTATCTTTAGGTGGACATATCATCACTGTGGTTCTACCAAATTTCCCCTTGACATTCAGAAGTAGCTTTGTGATGTTCTGTCAGCCCTGCATCACCTCTATAGGAGGAGGACATTAGTGTGGTAGCGAGTTACCTCCCCATCTGCAGGGTGAAGGGGCTCGACTGTCCCCTCCTTCATGGGTAGTAAGAGAATGTGATGTGTGTTCAGGGCAAGAGTCGTTGTTTCTTTTCAAGATTTTTAGATCTTACAAATAACAGCCCTAAGCCACCTCTTCCAGGTGTCATGTGTATCTGGGGAACTCTGATAATTCATTTTTTTCCCCATGTTACACAGGACAGAAAGATGTATGCGCTCATAGAATCATCAAATTGGAAGGGACCTAGAGATCACTGTTTCTCAATTTCTTGATTTCTTAGTTGCAAAAACTAAACCCAGAAAGATGAATTGCCTTATCCAAGAGCATATTTCTTCCTTATGATTTATTGAAAGGCAAAGCTTAAAACGCCATAGTTTGTTTCTAATAATATTAACTTACTATTTACATACTAGACTAGTACCTGAAAACTAATTGCCCATTTTAGATGAAAAAAAGAGAAGTGTGTAGTTGCTCTGAAATATTTTAAATTTATAATTACATGACATGGGCTAGGTTTATAAAATATTTTATTTACAAAAATAGTCTTAATAAAATTAATACAAAACCATTTTACAATATAACTTATATCTTCTCAAAAAAGTGACATTTGATTATAACACATAAACTACATTTGTATTTGTTAAGTCACATTGTAGTATAAATATGTTTCATCATTATTTTTTTATAAAAACGTACATGCCAATAACAATGAGCAATGGACAACAAATGTTATTTCATTATTCTTACAACGTACAAGTCATCTCTGGACAAAACAAAATCAACCAAAGAAGAGTAAAACAATTGTCCTTCTGTTCAACAATACAGTCTTTTTTAATTATTTGACAGTTTATCTGACAAAGACACAACATTAATTTGAAAGCACCGTGGCATAAAGTCTAGTAACAATATCCCCCAAAGCCTTCTCCAATGTCCTCGTTCAACTGTTTATTCAGTATTTTGCCAAGATAAATAAAGATTGATCTCAACTCTCTCCTTCATTAGTCTCAAGTGTTCTTACTATGCACTGAGGTCTTTAGACATTCCCAAGTGGCATATGTTTAAAATGTGAGTTTCTTTCTTTGGCTTCAAGTAGAGTTTCATGACACTTAGGAAACGTACTGAGCTCCTCCATGTGGCTGAATCTCGGTGACTCCCCACCCAACAACATTTCCGCGGATGTGACAAGACTCTGCGCCTCCGCTCTCTCTTATCTCTTCACTGCTGAGAACACGGTCCCAGATATTGAAGCCTGTTAGTCTTCCAGAAAAGGCCAGTGTTTCATCAAAGCCGCTGCCCACACAGCAGCCGTTCTTTTCTTGGCCGATCTGCAGTATTCCTCCCTCGGGAACAACGTGGCCCGTGGCCACCCCAACAGCGGTCGCCACCAGCTCACCCTTTACCCACAGGGACGTGCGCCCTGTCTCTGAGTCCCAGGAGCTGCACAGATGGGTCCACTTGCCCGGGGAAATGACAGCCTCGGCCGCCAGCCTGTTCTCCTCTCCGCCCACCACGAGCACTAAGGACTGCGAGCTGAGGTACAGCTGGATCTCATATGGATTCCTCTTCGTGCCGTAGGAGAACAGGATGGTTTTGTTTAGGACATCTGTGGCTTTGACCCAAATGCAGGCACTGAAAGATTCAAGCTTCATTGGTGTCGCCGGATGCACGCTTCCAAAAATCTTCTTGGAACGCATTGGGAATAAAATAGCCGTTTCACAACCTAGAGGCACAAGAAAATAAGAAGAACATGAAAGAAAATATAAAGTCATTCAGAAATGATTCCGGCATTTAGGTAGTTTCGCATGGGCATTTTAATGACTACAATTGAAAGTTATATGCAGTATCACATTATGACTTTAGGGGCCTCTGGTGTATTCTCTGGAGAGCAAAGAAAACAGGGCTAAAGAAAGCCAATTGTCTCATTCAATGAAGCATCTAAATGGAGAAGGCGTGCAGAGAAGCCAAATTGGTCAAACCCACAAAATAATGAAAAACATGTTTTAATAACTATTTCCCCTCCCAATTAGCTTTCTTTGTTAAAACTTTTAAAAAACATTGAGTCACTATGCATTAACTTCAACAATGACACCATAATTTCCAAGAACTCAGAGCCAAACTTGTTTCCCTCTCCTTGACTTCACCAAGATTCTAGAACGAAAACCTGTGAAAGTCAATGGATCTAGCCCAGCCCCTTTGGCCATTGTTAACAGTCAGTTTTAAACAAAAACGCTAGGATAGTCGTGTTGTTGCTGAATACATTTTAATATACCACATGTTCTCAGATGTTTGTAAACTTTGCAAGGTTTGTAGAAAACTACCTTTGAAAGGCAACAATGTATATGATGACTCACTTTTATTGGGTGCTCACTATGTTCCAGATACTGTTCTCAACACTTTATAAATCATTTTAATCCTCATATCAGCCCTAGAGATAGTCTTAATATTCCCATTTGACAGATGAGAAAACTGAGTCGTAGAGTGCTAAGTAACTGAGCTATGTTTACAGAGATGATAAGTGGTAAAACTAGGGTTTTGACTTGGGCACTCTGGCTTGCAGAGGCCACACCCTTAACTTGCACACTGCCTTGCCTTTTAATGGTAGAACCCCTGGATTTGGCTAGAAGAGCCGGAATTCAGTTTGTTGTACCACTAGTGAGCCATGCAGCTTTTGATGAGCCCCCTAATCTCTCCAAGCTTTGCTGTTTTCTATAAAAGGCTCTTCCTTCCATTTTCCTTCCAATATTCTGCAAGTAAGCAAGCAGCAATTATGTAGCACTCAGGAAGAGCTGTGTAGCATTCCCTTTGTAACAACCTAAAGAAGATTTGCCATAAAATAGCTTGGAAAAGTAAACTTCCAGAGCATTTAAAGACTAACTGGTGAACAGACAGAACCTGCAGGAACCAAAGGTCCACGCAAAGTGTGGTCAGCCAAGTGAGAAAAAATAGTCGAAGAAAATACTGAGATTCATAAATTCCTATAAAAGTAACTATAATACTAAAGCACAAAATTGGTCCTGTCACACTTTGGTGTTAACTTTTTCACTGAATAAATGGAATTTTTTGAAGATTTTTAAAAATTAATTTTTAATGAGACATTGGTTCTTTCTTCCAATGAAATCAGTAGGTGCATTTTTTTTCTAGCCGTGTTAAATAAATCAAACAAAGATCATGGAACAAAAGATCACATTATGCCTGAGCATTTGAGATATTTGCTGTAATGTTTCAGAAAAGTAGTGTTCAGGAGAGTGCCTACTGCAGCCTAATTAGCCGATTTCCTGTTTAACTAAGCCCAGGCTGGCAGGGTTGCATTCCAAAGCCTGCCTTCATTGCATCTCAAAGACCCAGCTTCCCAAGTAGGCTGCACCGGCTATTTGAGTTCACGGAGGGGAACTGCATGCTGGCAGGCTTTTTTCTGGTTTTTTTGGGGGGACACCAGTGATTGAGGCTCTTGATATCTCTTTAAAATGTCAGAAACTGTCTTATAAAATGGCTTTTAACTAATATGTTTTCCTGATTATGTTATCAAAGACCCAAAAAAAATTAAAACCAGGCTCTTCGGAGGCCAACAACAGAATGATTAGGAATCCCTTAGAAGCCAAGCTGGCAGGAAACCAAGAGAAGGGAAATCAAAGCTTGTGGGTAAATGTATCATTGGACTTAATAAAAAATTAGCATTTTAGAATTCAGAAATACATCCCTCTTCTGCTCTAACTAATGTGCAGAGGTGAAGATGAAAATTAGAGTAATTCTTTAGTTTTTCAGGGACATGATATGTACAACGACTTTATATGGTTTGCAAAAGACAAGAAATTTCATTCATTAAAATAGCCACAGAATTATAATTTGTCTCCTTGTCACTTACATTGAGCATTTATTGTATACTTGATATTATGCTCCCCCTCCCCTACCTGAAACCCTGCTAAATATTTAAGAAAATATGTTCTGTATTGATAAATAATCCTTAATATTTAGGAAAGACTGATATTCTGGTACGGTTCCTGTAAGTTTAAATGAAAAGTGCTCTCACACATACTTATGATTTTTCCTCATACTCCATCTAATAAGAGTTGTTCTGTTGGATTGTTTGTAATTGGGTCCTGTTTCTGAGATTCTCAGGAAAAGGGCGATTATATTTTCTTACCTAGAACATCAGTTTTCTAATATAGCCCACAAATGATTGTTGCATCACCATTTCCTAGAAATGCTGACTTACAATGGAGTGTTACTTGGTTCCAAATCTTCTCTTTATTTCTTTCAACCATCTTTAAAATGTATTATTTGGGGCCCACATGCATTTGGTGGTTCATCAAATATCACACGGGACTTTGACAAATTGCGTCTGGGTTGAACCACCTCTCTCCCGTTTGGTCCTGACCCCCCCCC